TAGATAAACTCAGAGAAGTCGCAAGTTTACAAGGAAAGACTTTCAGCTATAAAGTTTTCAGCTAACAGTTCGGATACATTTGAACGTATGTGAACTAAAAAGCATATCTAAACTTATGTGTTTCAATGATTGTTCTTATGTTAAGCTACGTCAAAAATACATATTTTAAAGAAATTCAGTATGGTTACATTTTATTCCATTGGAATGTTAAATAACGTCTTCAACATAATTTCCATTATTTTCGATCCAGAGGGGATGTAAGTAACTAAGATCCTTTGTTTACGATTTAGGCGCATCGGGCATATGGGAAGAGCGTCCCATATATTTACAGACCAGTCGGCACTAGGTGGGTAATGTGGTCAGTATTACGCCGGCCGTCTTTGCTTTCCCAGGACAACCATCCTGTAACCCAAATTAGGCTGGGTCGACCTGCGACGCCCCATACCATGATAAAAATCCACGCAGCCAGCAGTTGGTTTTGATCGCGGTACATTGGAATTACGAGCTTGCAACGCCTAAGCCACGGACGCTTCTATGCAGAGGGGATGCGCATCACAAAATTTACCTGAAAGCAATGTAATAAATCTACATTGCCGTTAATTTTAGCGAATTTCACTCTTTATTTCCTTTGTGTCCAGACTTCAGGACGGCTGATGAAAAAATGAATTCATTAATATTTACCATAAATTTTGCGCTGAATCGAATCCTCCACCCGTTAACAGAGCATTGGTTAAAAAAAAAAAAAATTGGCTGTCCTCCGAATAACGGTCTTAAATTATCGAGGCGGACAATATCCCCCATCAGGGACTCAGTCACGTGTCAATTGCGCACTTCCGTCGTTTTATATCGCGCGCTTCTGGCGACCCACCACCGCCGAGGGGATCCCCCTATCCCCCGCCGCACACACGGCGTGGATTGAGGCTAAACTAGATGGCTAGGACTCACGAGCAAATAAAATGAAGGAAGCTGAAGGAGATGCAGTAGCTGCTGCTCTTGAGTCCGAGCCATCTAGTTTAGCCCCAATCCACGCCGTATGAGCGGCGTGTGGGATACCGTCGGCGGTGGCGGAAGGGACTGAGACACGTTAGGGTATATTTTCCGTCTCGATAAATTACGACCGTTATTCGGAGGATTGCCAAAAAAAAAAAAAAGTTCAAGGTAAAGTCGGGAGATGTGAACCAGCGTCATTGCGCACGGTTATAAACCTTAAGTGCTCTGCCACCAGTACGGACAGCTAATAAGAATTGTCCGCCTGTGTCGCCGTTCGCACGTAACTCTGTAGCTACAGCGACGTTCCTCCGTTTACCCCAGAGTGTCAGCTCTGGCATCCATTTCCTAGAGGCTGGGTGAACCCCGGGAGCCGCCCGGTTTCGAACACCGACCGTGGGCTGCAGCGAGTCGCAGCTGGATTTGAAAGCGAGCCTCTTATCTACTGCGCTAACGGGGCTCCCTAGCATTGATAACAAAGCATTGATCCCGATTAATTGACTATGACAGTTTGATATGTCTTGTGAGTGAACTCTTTTAGTGCCAAAGGGATTTAGCATCAGAGACACAAGGGGTAGTAAAGAGAGACATAAAAACGGCGCATGTTGCGTTAAATGGGCTTCTAGGAGGGAACCTATGAACGTTTGATGCGTTACTTAGGACTGAAAGAGTTTAAGATTTTGACATGTGTCCTTTTCATTAGGTAGACAAGGCTTTCGTGTATAGATTACCGCTACGGCATAAGTCGACTATTGATTTGAGTTTTAACATCTATTTATAATGTGGTTTATATAAGTTTAATTGTCCCACACGCATAGACCCATTTATTGCTACACAACGTCAACACACTGTTCTATATTCTCCCACACCTTCCTTCACCCAAACGTGCATGTGTGTTTGTGTGTATGTATCTGTGTATGTATGTATGTATGTATGTATGTATGTATGTATGTATGTATGTATGTATGTATGTATGTATGTATGTATGTATGTATGTATGTATGTATGTATGTATGTATGTATGTATGTATGTATGTATGTATGTATGTATGTATGTATGTATGTATGTATGTATGTATGTGTGTGTGTGTGTGTGTGTGTGTGTGTGTGTGTGTGTGTGTGTGTGTGTGTGTGTGTGTGTGTGTGTGTGTGTGTGTGTGTGTGTGTGTGTGTGTGTGTGTGTGTGTGTGTGTGTGTGTGTGTGTGTGTGTGTGTGTGTGTGTGTGTGTGTGTGTGTGTGTGTGTGTGTGGTGTGGTGTGTGTGTGTGTGTGTGTGTGTGTGTGTGTGTGTGTGTGTGTGTGTGTGTGTGTGTGTGTGTGTGTGTGTGTGTGTGTGTGTGTGTGTGTGTGTGTGTGTGTGTGTGTGTGTGTGTGTGTGTGTGTGTAGGTATGTAGGTATGTAGGTATGTAGGTATGTAGGTATGTAGGTATGTAGGTATGTAGGTATGTAGGTATGTATGTATGCGGGCGGGCGGGCGGGCGGGCGGGCGGGCAGGCAGGCAGGCAGGCAGGCAGGCAGGCAGGCAGGCGCGCGCGCGCGCGCGCGTGCGTGCGTGCGTGCGTGCGTGCGTGCGTGCGTGCGTGCGTGCGTGCGTGCGTGCGTGCGTGCGTGCGTGCGTGCGTGCGTGCGTGCGTGTATGTATGCATGTAATGTAATGTTATGTAATATTATGTTATGTTATGCTGTGCTATGCTGTGCTGTGCTATGCTATGCTGTGTATTGTAATGTATGTATGTGTGTATATTCGTGTGTGTGCGCTTCCTTACATCTCTCCGTGGCACTTTGATGTGGTAGCTGAAGGAAGTGGAGGGCGGACGAGGAGGAGGAGTAGAAGAAGCTGTAAAGTGAAGCCCAATACAAGTAAGCAAAAGTCCCTTTCAACACCATCAGGCCAATTGGACATGTAGGGCTAGACCTATATTTTTTAGACCAGTCGGTACTCGATGGGTGATGTGGTCAGCATCGCGCCGGCCGCTTTTACCTCGCACGACGCTACCTGGTAACTATTTGAGTCAGGACGACAAGGTAATTTTGAAAAATATCCGACTCCGCCAGAACCTCGCCCTACGACCTTCGTATTCATTTGCGAGCTTCTAGCCGCTACACCACAGCGGGTTCTGCATTTTATTTGCAGTAAACGTGAATTAGTACAGTACGGGGTGCTTTATCAATATCCTACCCCAAACAGTGAGAAATCCACAGGTCACGGGACAGACTAATGTTTCAGGGGGTTCTAGATACGCTGCATGCAGTTGTGGGACCTAGGCTGCACTCTCTCGTGGGACGTAGGTTGGTTAAGGTTAGGGGAAGTTCTATATCTTCTTCTTCTTCACTTCTTCTTTTACCACTGTCGGTGTCGAGGGAGATATAAGGTTCTGTTTCTAGCTCTTCTGGCCGCCTCGACCATACGCACATCGTGCTGTTGTAGAGTTTCTCTGATGTTATCCTTCCATCTTGTTATTGGTCTATCTCGTGCTGTACGTCCTTCTTCTCTTTCCATGTATGCTTTGTATGGTATGGTGTCACAAGGCATTCTCTCTAAGTGGGCAAACCATTTCACTTGCTGTCTTTGTATATAATCCAGAATTGGTTCAGTTCCGACTTTTTCTCTTATGATCTCATTCCTGATCTTATCTCTTATGGTCACTCCTACAGTCCTTCTCAGACATCTCATTTCCGTGGTTACTAATTTTCTTTTATGGTTTGTTGTGAGTGACCATGTCTGACACTGGTAGCACAGAGTTGGAATAAATATGCTTTGAATAAGATGTCTCTTTGTGCTGATTGGGATTGTCTTATGCTGTAAGAGGGGAGCTAGCTGTCCCAATACTTGGTTTGCTTTACTGCATCTAATGTTAATTTCTTTATCCAATTTTCCATCTTCGGTAAATGTGGTTCCCAGATATTTAAACTCAGATGCCTGTTTAATGCCTTTGCACTCTATTGCTATGTTTAGATCTGTCTTCTTTTTTCCTATTGACATTACTTCTGTCTTTTCAGTGTTGATTCTCATATTATTTGTTTTACATTCTTCATTTATGGATGTTAGATATTGCAATTTCATGGCTGTATCTGCTATCAAGGCCTGGTCATCTGCAAAGAGTAATTCGTTGATCTTACTAACATTTTCATTCATGGGCTTGGCATTCTTGCATATACTGTCGATGTAGGTGATAAACAGCAGTGGTGATAAGACACACCCCTGTCTTACTCCAGATGTCACTGTGAAAGGATGAGATGTTCCCTGATTTATTCTAAGTTCCCTGATTTATTCTAACTACACTTCTACAATCCCTGTATAAACTTTTGCACACTTCGATGAGGTGTTCGCTTACTCCATATATTGCCATTACTTTCCTTAACAGTTCTTTATGTTTTGGGGTATTTGAAAGCATCAGAAAGCCGGGAAACCCAGTCTCACCACTCTCTTAAATGTTGGACTGTCCTGTGACGTCATCTGGGGGTAGGATATTCATAAAGTACCCAAAGCAGATAACACGACAACAGCAATTACTAGCATGACCTGTAACCTCAGGTAACATTGCACATAGAAATGATATAATTGTGGTCTGCGCGCGTGGGATGACACACTCATGTTTTTATAGACCAATCGGCACTCACAGATTACCCTAGTCAATCTACATCACGCGGTATTTCATTGAAACACTACACTAAACATCTTGTTCTTTTTGTTCTTGTTCTTCTTTGTCTTCTTGCTCTTGTTCTTGTTCTTCTTCTTGTTCTTCTTGTTCTTCTTGTTGTTCTTTTTCTTCTTCTTCTTCTTCTTCTTCTTCTTCTTCTTCTTCTTCTTCTTCTTCTTCTTCTTCTTCTTCTTCTTCTTCTTCTTCTTCTTCTTCTTCTTCTTCTTCTTCTTCTTCTTCTTCTTTATCATCGTCGTCTCCATATTCTTCTTTGTCATCGCCTTCTCTCTCATGATCGCTAATTTCCCCCTGCTCTTATGTTGCTCATCTAAAGACTCACATTCTGGTCTATCTTCCACAGGAATACGACCATGTGCTGCAGCAACCTGTTCAAAGTTACAGGAAGGAAATTGATCATCCTCTCGTTGTTTGTATTTCTCAGTGTGGCCCTGTATGCCAGATCGACATACTTCTTCAGCATCCACACACTCAGCAGCAACAGTTCAGCGCAAACCATCGCTACTCCTGGGGACATCTTCAGCCACAAGCTACAACATATTCCACACAACAGATCACTGTTTGCTGCACAGCTTGTATCAGACCATCCGTTTCTCATGGAAAAGATCATCCATTCCGATAATTTTGAGTACATCATTCGCCCAAGGGTGACCTGTTCGGGTCAGGAAATTGAATTAGCAATCTGCGTGGTCATTAGCCATGATAACCACGCGGGAAGATCTGTCATTAGAAGGACTTGGGGCAGCTATGCCAATGATCCCAAAAATAAAGCCGTCTTGGTGTTTTTTGTTGGTTCTGAAGACAAAGAATCAGCAACAGAAAGGAGGTGGGTTCGAAGATCCAGACTACAGGAAGAAGCATCTATCTTTGGTGATATACTGCAGGAAAACTACATAGACAGTTATAGAAATCTTAGTTTAAAGTCTGTGTCAATTCTGAGATGGGTGAAAACAGTTTGCCCGAAAACTAAATATATTCTGAAGGTGGATGATGACATGTATGTGAATATTCCATTTTTGATGACAACAATGCAAGAATTTGTCACCGAGTCATCACCTCCAAGTGCATTTATCATAGGAAGCATGCAGGTAAACGCTTTGCCAAAAAGAGATCCGAGTTCTAAATGGTACACTTCCTACTCGGTTTTTCAAGAAGAAAGGTATCCAGACTACGTTTCTGGTCCATCATACGTTATGACAAGTGCAGCGGCGGTGCTTCTGTACGAAGCAACTCTCAGAGTGGCCAGGTTCTGGTTGGAGGATGTTTACATCACTGGGCTGTGTGCTAGAAAGGCTAAGGTTCGCGTCTATGATAGTAAATACTTCTCCTATGGCAAACCTTTGGCCTCCGGTTGTACTTTTAGGACTATGGTGTCTGGTCACAGGTACACGCAGGAGGAGATAATCAAGATTCACACTGAACTGTATGATCCAAATCTCAAGTGCTGAATGTGACACGACCATAATTTATATGGTGTAGCAGATGGGTAAAGTGGGGCAGTAGGTGGTTTTGTGAGGGAGGAGAATGTGTGTAAGTGGTTGTGTGTGTTGTGTATGTGTGTTTGTGTGAGTGTTAGAGAGAGAGAGAGAGAGAGAGAGAGAGAGAGAGAGAGAGAGAGAGAGAGAGAGAGAGAGAGAGAGAGAGAGAGGGAGATATGTAGATAGAGAGAGAATATGTACATCATTGTGTGATGTGAACAGAAATCAGAAGCCTTATCACCGAGAGCTAATGCATGCAGTTAGGATGTCAGAGTGTGTTATTCAGTGGAAAATGGAATGGGTGTTAGAGAAAGGATTGAATGTTAGGAAACAAGCGTATCTAATACGAAAAAACTGGTTTCGTACGTCTCCTTCTCCTCCTCTTCTGGTCCTGTTCTGCCTTTTATTGCCAGGGATTAAAGAGGCCTCGGGTGCGAGCCCTGTAGGCGCTGGCCGTTTAAAGCATCGGATTTTCCATCTATCCGTCACTTGCCTGGTCAACCTCTGGGTATGCTTCCATTATGTCTGAGTGATAGGGCTCCCTGTGGTTCAATGTTTTGTTGTGTTAGCCTTGGCACATGCCTGAACCATTTTATCTCTTGTCTGTTGAAATAATTTAGTCCTGGTTCCGTCCCGACTTGTTTGCTAATACTTTCATGTCTGATTTTGTCTCTTCTAGTTCAAAGTAAATTATTTCGCTTCTGTTTTTTGGGTTATCATCCCCCCCCCCAATAACTTTTTCTGTTATAAACAAGGCACCATGCGTGACTGGGTGTAATCATTTGCTCTAACTAACATATTACTATGTTTATACATTTTATGTCTAGTCGAGCATGCTAATCACTCAACAACATATTTGTTTGCCATTTTTTTCAAAATTGATTTTACAACTGACTCTGGGGCATCAGCTGTGACCTTGAGGGATGCAAAGAGTTAATAAGTGATTTAAAAAAGTTCATTTGTCATCGACGGGCGATGTTGTCGTACTAAGAAAGTCGCAGTAAGAGGGGATACTGGATAATAATGGTATATCATTGAACAAGGAACAAAACCAACTCACAGGAAACCAACTCAGAGGAAACCAACTCACAGGAAACCAACTCACAGGAAACCAACTCACAGGAAACCAACTCACAGGAAATCAACTCACAGAAAACCAACTCACAGGAAACCAACTCACAGGACTAAGACTGCGGCATTTCTTCATATCTTTATTATCTATGTTAAACAGGGTATGTGTTTATATTTTATTTACATATACCAAGTGGCTTTTTTTTTTTTTAGTCCCTATGTGGCATTATTTTTGGGCCACTTATTACTGGAAAGAGAAAAAAAAAAAAGGGGGGGGGGGGGGGGGGTTAAAAATATGTTAATTGATATTTTCTTCACTCTTTCATTCAAAAATAGATCTGAGAATTTGCAAAAAGACACCATCTAGTGTATATACTTGTAGATGGTTATCTGCAGTAATGAAGGAAGGAAAGTTGGTCAGAGAATACTGCCGTAATTAAAGTGACATCTGCATTCTAGGCATCCATGAAGTGCTTTTGGTATTGAGATCTGTTAAGAAGGCAAAGAATAATAACAATGTAGCTTGCCTTACATGTCGTAGGATTCGACTAAGGAATTTGCTGAAGCTGTAAATCTCCAGCCACGCTTCAGACGATGGACACTGGCATGTACACGACTGGCATAACCAACAGGCCGTGGAGTACAACTGCGGGCCTGAACAATAATCCAACACCGCCCCACCTCTTATCGTTCAGGACTAACATTCACTCGATTCTCATCCAGATCCACGTGTGCACATCACTCTGGATTCAACTTCATGTCCTTTCAATCATGTCATGCCGTGAAGGCATAGAGTGTCTTCAATGTTGTCGATCCATTTTTCCTCGGCCGTCCTCTTGCTGTTGTAGCTGATCTTCTAAGATGTAATGCTTGTGATCGTATTTGATCTTGCTGCATTCTAACGAGATGGCATATATATATATATATATATATATATATATATATATATATATATATATATATATATATATATATATATATATATATATATATATATATATATAGGCTGTTACAAAGCGACTTATCTATTTTGGGACCACTAAGTTAAGGTGTAGATCAGCACTATTTCATTGGCTACCCGTGGTCGCGGACCACTTCCGCGGAGGGCTAGCAAGTGGCCCTCAGATCGTTGTTAGTTCTATTAATTACCTTGCTGTGCTCTGGCTGGGGACTTTAGCCTGTGACGATCGCCCTTTTGAACCTTATGGCCCCATCTTAAACTTGGTTGAATAGCCGTGGTGTGGATACTAACTGTTCCAGTAGCACAGCAGAGCATTGCGAGGAGGGAGAGAAGAGGAGCAACCAATTAGAACTTAAAATATATAACTGCTGCGACGGCATCTGTTATAATTTCTTTGGAGGTTGAAAGGGGTATCCGGGATATTTCATGTTGGTTTACCATCCAGGTCGATGGAAAGCGACCTGAGTGCGACATCTTTGACATGGAAAACTGCACTGAAGATTGCACAGGACAGGAAAGCATGGAAAGTCCTCTCTGAAGCCTTATGTGCCACTAGGCACAACGAGAACTGATGATGATTACCATCCAGGACACGGCTTGTGGTCTCAGGGGGTGGTGAAAAATTCAGGAAGAAGCCTAAAAAAGAATAATAAAACACGCAGTCAAGAAATGGGGGAGATTCCACAAGTAAAAACAAGAAAAGAGTATGGCAACGAAGAACTAAAACAGACTGAATACGCCAACTGTTAAACATTGATATTAACTGAATACGCCAACTGTTAAACATTGATATTAACTGAATACGCCAACTGTTAAACATTGATATTAACTGAATACGCCAACTGTTAAACATTGATATTAACTGAATACGCCAACTGTTAAACATTGATATTAATTTTTAAATCAAATTTTAACTAATTGACGACACAGGAGCGGTTGGTAAAAAATTTAAAGAGCACTTGGCTCTCATGCGGGAGAACCAGGTTCGAATCCGTGGAAAGGTTAAGTTGTCAGGTTAGTTGCGTATGCTTTACAGGACGTTGCAGAACCATCCCCAACAAACCCTGGCTGTTGTGTGGTTTTCTAGGCAATATAACGTCCAGTAGTTTGTCATTACATTTTGGACGGTCGGCTTTCTTGATACCACTGTCGAAACCAACGCAAGGCGCATGGCGCGCTGCTGGGATCGCACCCGGCATCCCGGCATTACGAAGCGTTAACATCGACTTAGCTACAGAGCCGACTAAGTTGTCAGGGCCAGAGAATATTCTAGCTTGCACAGTTCATGTCGCAGGCACTAGGCATGTGGCAGGAAACTGGCAGGGGACTCAGTTCGTTCTCTCCGTGCCGCATTGAGAGCCACGTTCTGTGAAGAACCTTTTACTTGATAATGATGATATTAATTTTATTTCACCTCCTTTTTTTAAGAGGCGGATCAGGATGAAGCTTTTACTGGATTTTATTTCACACAGTCATTTAAATCTGGTCTCTTGTGCTGCTGTTGTTATTGCATTTATATCAATCTAAATGATTCTATTTTGTTATCAGTTGTGTTTGGACATATCTTACATGGTTTTCATGAACAATTATGTCTAAATTTATGATTGTCTTTGTTGTTTGAAGTTTTTTGTTTGGGGGGGGGGGGGAAGAGGGGGGGGGGGGGGCAATGTTTTGATGTGACGGTAGTCTGCCAGTGTTTCTGGGTTAAAACCTGACCAGTGATAGTTAATTGGTCGGGTGGTATGTCTGTGTAGGTTTATGTTTGTGAGAGATAAAACGTATTTGTATGAGTTAGTTCATTGGCCATGTCCTCAATGAAAAAAAAAAAAGGGGGGGGGGGGGGATTGATAAACAGAAAAAGAAGAAAATGAGGAAGAAAAGGAGAATAGAAACACCAATGGTAGCTTTAAGAGAAAGAAGGAGGAGGATTAGGAGAAAAAGAAGTTGTAGTGGTGGTAATAATAATAGTAGTAGTAGTAGTAGTAGTAGTAGTAGTAGTAGTAGTAGTAGTAGTAGTAGTAGTAGTAGTAGTAGTAGTAGTAGTAGTAGTAGTAGTAGTAGTAGTAGTAGTAGTAATAGTAGTGGGATTTAGGAGAAATAGAAGCTGTACAGATGCAATCTTCACACTTAACCGGTTAATAGAAAAGAACATTGCATTCAATATTACTTATTTGTGGCATTCATAGACCAGGAGATTTGACAGAGTCGACAGACAATTATTATGGAAAGTAAAAGCAAGATATGGAGTAAGCGAACACCTCATCGAAGTGTGCAACAGTTTATACAGGGATTGTAGAAGTATAGTTAGAATAAATCAGGGAACATCTCATCCATTCACAGTAACATCTGGAGTAAGACAGAGGTGTGTCTTATCACCACTGCTGTTTATCACCTACATCGACAGTATATGCAAGAATGCCAAGCCCATGAATGAAAATGTTAGTAAGATCAACGAATTACTCTTTGCAGATGACCAGGCCTTGATAGCAGATACAGCCATGAAATTGGAACAACATCTAACATCCATGAATGAAGAATGTAAAACAAATAATATGAGAATCAACACTGAAAAGACAGAAGTAATGTCAATAGGAAAAAAAAAGACAGATCTAAACATAGCAATAGAGTGCAAAGGCATTAAACAGGCATCTGAGTTTAAATATATGGGAACTACATTTACCGAAGATGGGAAATTGGATAAAGAAATTAACATGAGATGCATTAAAGCAAACCAAGTATTGGGACAGCTAGCTCCCCTCTTACAGCATAAGACAATCCCAATCAGCACGAAGAGACATCTTATTCAAAGCATATTTATTCCAATCTGTGCTACCAGTGCCAGACATGGTCACTCACAACAAAGCATAAAAGAAAATTAGTAACCATGGAGATGAAATGTCTGAAAAGGGCTGTAGGAGTGACCATAAGAGATAAGATC